CGCCAACTTGTCAGGCTAGTTTGAACCCTGTACAAACCATGCAAACAATTATGTATGAAACTCTAAATAGAAAATTCATGTTTCAAACTTTGTCTGAAGGAGACTCTCAAAGCACAATTATTTCATGTAGTTAATACCAACCTTTAGTGTTCTGCCTGTTTTAATGTAGTTCTTTTCCAAGACGTTATCGAGTGCTGGATCTAGTTCTTCTTCAATGTCTTCAAGAATTAATGGTCGACCAAGTGATAAACTGTCTTCTAAGTGATTTCTGAAGTACTTGTGGTTTAAGTTGGTAATCTGTAAATGCAGAAAGTATTTATGAAATGAAATATTCGTAAATGCACAAAATATGAAAAGAGTTTATCAGATACATTTTTGGTCAAAAAATATTTTTAAAGATTCAGTACGAACAAAAACATATATTTTTTCAATATTGATACTCAATACTGAATTATGATTTATCATACACTTAAATTGTTGCATTCATAAGACAAGCAACATTATATTTTAGATGAAAACAACAACAATATTGAAGTTACATGTTGTATTTCATATTACATTTTTAAAACAAGGATAATAATGTGCAGTTTTCATGAGATTGACTTGTCTATGATTTGGGCTCTATATTAAAACAGGCCAATAATTTTATTATTATTTTCTAAAAATGAATTTAATTGGCTATAGCAAGTGTACATAACCCTTCCTCTTTATTACAGTATATAGCATAGTCTAGATATTGGTCACATTGGATATGCAGATGGTCAGGATCAGTCAATGACCACGGTAAAACACTGGTCACATTAGATATGCAGATGGTCGGCATCAGTCAATGACCACGGTAAAACACTGGTCACATTGGATATGCAGATGGTCGGCATCAGTCAATGACCACAGTAAAACACTGGTCACATTGGATATGCAGATGGTCGGCATCAGTCAATGACCACGGTAAAACACTGGTCACATTGGATATGCAGATGGTCGGCATCAGTCAATGACCACGGTAAAACACTGGTCACATTGGATATGCAGATGGTGGACATCAGTCAATGACCACGGTAAAACACTGGTCACATTGGATATGCAAATGGTCAGCATCAGTCAATGACCACGGTAAAACACTGGTCACATTGGATATGCAGATGGTCGGCATCAGTCAATGACCACGGTAAAACACTGGTCACATTGGATATGCAGATGGTCGGCATCAGTCAATGACCACGGTAAAACACTGGTCACATTGAATATGCAGATGGTGGACATCAGTCAATGACCACGGTAAAACACTGGTCACATTGGATATGCAAATGGTCAGCATCAGTCAATGACCACGGTAAAACACTGGTCACATTGGATATGCAAATGGTCAGCATCAGTCAAAAGTCATGGTAATTGTCAACAGCAAGCCATGGTTAACACTGGCAAGCCATGGAAACTGATGGAAAGCAGAGGAAACCACCAGTATGAAAAAATCACCCATCCCCTATCTCTTATAACGATAAGATCTCAAGAGTTCAAAAACATTTACCTGTAATTCATTCTTTGCTTCTTTGTTCTTAATCCATGTTTTACCCTGTATCTGTGGATCTATAAGCAGTGGAAATCTAGACGACTTAGTCACAATAATACCATTCTGTATTGATAACTCATCATTTGGTAACCCTTGTAGATTCCATTCACTTACCTAGGTAATATAAACATGAAATAGCATTACGAATTACGTCACTAAGAACTAAACATTTGATTTTTACAAAGAGTATAGTATTATTATAGTATCTATACATATTTACTGAACATTTAAAAAAAAATTTAAAAGTCAGATGCATACATAACTGAAGTTGTACCGTAAAATCTGTATTAAAAGTTGCATTTCTAATAGAAGTCGCACCCATTCTTTTTGAACAACTGAGAACCAAAAATTTACCATTTCTCAAATGTGTGGATGCTCTAATAGAAGCCGCATCCATTCCATTTCATTGTATCATTTTAATAGAAGCAGCGGCTTCTAATACAGATTTTACAGTAGCTGCCAAAATGTTTTTTTTTTTTGTAGAAACGGCTAAAGTTGCCTTTTGGGTTGAACTCAAAAGTTTTATTTATTTTCACTCCTCGTACATCAAATGAGCTTTTATGTATGTAGAACTTAGCTTGCTGTAGAGTAGTAGATGACTTACTGTTGTGTTGTCAACCAGCATTTCAATCAGATTGAGATCACCAGTATATGGTATACGTCTTGTTTTCAGTTCCTTCTGCCAGTTTTTCACCAGTTTTGTTCGAAATTCTTGATTGAATGGACCAGAATAAGACAAGAATCCAGTTCCCATTAAAACATCACCAACTAACCTGTTATACAAACCGCATAAATATATAATCTTCCACATGCAGAGTTAGGATATGCAGTAGAATCCTCACATTGTTAAAGATGTTTCATAATTTGAGATTTACAAAGATAAAATTATGAAATTCTCCCTTCTAGAATATTTTGTAATTTTTACTGACTTGATATGGAATTTATTTTCGCTGAAGGAAAAAAAGTTTTTCAGCGAAAATTAATTCCAGCTAAAATAAAGTATTTCACGGTATACTAAACATATCAGCTTTCTTCCCTACCTCCCGATCTGAGCTTTGAATTCTTTACTTTGTTCAGTCCATCTTTCTTTTTCTCCTCCCAAACCGTTGATAAGAGCCGAAGCAGCTTCCATCTTACGCCTGCACGTAGCTGCATCATCAAGCAGGGTCTGGAAGGTAAGAAAACACCCAAACATGAACATGACAAAAATCAGTTAATATAATAATTAACTAACTGATTAGAAATATCTAAGAATTAGCAATAAGTATGTTGACATTTAATAAGCACATGATCTTTAGATTAAATCATATGAGCCCTCGTGAGAACACTCAGTAACAATGGTGGCAGCGGTGTGATGTAGAGTGAATCAGTAGTTCTATTAATATTGATGACACACAAAAAGATATATTATTACATGCTACTATTATTGTTTTAGTCAAAGCATCTCAAGCCTCTAAATTTACAGATTGAATGTAACATTGCATACAAGACTATCATTCATGTTATTCTTACTTGTTTCTCTTTCATTGCAGCATCATACTGTGCTTGTACAATATCCAACTCTTTCTGCTTCTCATCCAACTTTGCCTGAGCTTCATTCAAGTCAGCATTAGCAATCTGTAAACGAGCTTCTTGGACAGCCAGGTTGGCTTTAAGTGGTAACACTTCTCTGTTAATACCGTAAAATACAGCCATAGATCTCGTCCATGAACACAATCCAGCTACATCACCACAAACCTAACAAATTAAAGATAACCAAAGTTTGCAACTTATACCTCCTGGGTAGGACAAAACATAAAAAACTGCCAATAGCAACCATCAAATGAAGTCACATGACAAACAGCAATGAGAATAGTATGGCTGCACGAATAGAACAAGAGAGTCAAGAAGTCAACAATGTCATTATCAAAACAATCATTATATGTGCTGGTTTTATATGATATTCTCATTCAAATACTGTAAAATACTTTATTTCAGCTGGAATTAATTTTCCCTGAAAAGACGTTTTGGGTGTTTTGTATGAAATTTATTTTCACTGATTTTTGACAAGTTGAAAGTAAAATATAGAAAAAAAGGTATATTCGCTGGTTTTTAATTTCACTGAATCATTCCTAGTTAAAATTAATTCCAAGCAAAAATAAAAAAAGTATTTTACATTGATTGAAATCCCAATATTCTGAAGTACAATCAGCTAATAATTACTTAATGGTCTTACTTCAGATGACAGCTATGCTTTAGCAGAAAAAAATTACTGATTTTTGACTTGGAAAATGTTATGTAGAGACATAATTGACAACATACGGTGCATTTGCTACTTGAACATAGAAGACAGATTCTTAAAAACATTTTACTGGGAAAATGCACACACAATTGCACACACAGCGATTAACAAATCTAATACAGAGGAGTCCAAGATAAAATAGAGTGGATCCTAGGCATGAGTCCTATAAGTAGATAAATCAAATTGGAATACTAAAAATGCATGAAAACATAGACCTTTAAGGTCTATGATGAAATACAATTGGATTTATTTCTCTACAAAATGAGTTGATGAAGTGTCCTTAGAAACACACTGTGTTCTTTGAGAGTACTGGACTACTAGTCGTGATTGGGTCACTAATATGCAGTTCACTAAACATTACATGAATATTTCAGTGAAACTGTTTGTAATTGGAATTTCAAAATATTGCATTTTGATGTCCAAAATTCACTACTGTGAACTTGCCAGCCAACATGGTGTGTTTGCATGTTTTATCAAACATGTCTACACCATTAGAGTAAAATGTTGGAGTGATTTGCATAAACTGAGTAATAATATTGTGAGTTATTCTATTATAAAATATGAAATGACATTAGTACATGTTACAAGTTCAAAAAGTGACATATACATGTATAATCTTGATATGTAATAGCATCACCGATTAGTCTTACATTTTATTTTGAAATGAAGATGAAAACTGTGGTGGCACATTTGGCGATGCTGGAGGTAAAGTAGAAGAAACATTTCTTACCTTTTTAGCTGTTTCAAGTGTATAGTCTTCCATTTCTAAGTATGGTGCCATCAGTTCTACAGTTTCTGCATTAATGCTGTCTTTTGGGAAGTTGAGCAGGCCAGTTAAAAACCCAGAACCACCCATGAACTAAGGAAGAAAGAATTAGTTATTTATTATAATAATACCCACACAGGCATACAAGATAAGTTGTCGCGTTGCTGCAATATTGTAATTCAATTTTTGAATGGATTACTATCCTGTTTAACAACCAATGTATATTGCGGTCATAGCGAATAGTAAAAATTTTATAAAACAACACATATTAATAATTATTGGAATATAAACATTAATACCTTGAGTGCATCGCCCCATGATGGTTTCATACAAGGCCTTTCTGGGTCCTGTACCACAGTCTCAAGTCTTTTTTGAAATAAAATCAATACACAGTCCATGATTCGCATAATTAAGTGAGGTGGTTTACCAAGTTTTCTCACAGTAGCAATATGTGTTGGTTTTATAGTATTCAGAGCGGCTTCTGCTTCTTCCAATGCAGGTTTGGCAACAAGCAACTTCTCCATAGCAATCTTTTTGTCCACCTATAAAAAAAGATGTCACAACAAATCTCAGTTTGTTTATTCTTAGGTGAAATGACCAGCAAGAAAATACAATGTGTTTATGCCCCAGTTACTGTACTATTACAAATACTTACTGCAATATCATCAACTATTGCCTGTGCTTTGTCCTTGACCTTCTGTACTTGTGCCTTGACTTTCTCTGCAGCCTGGGCTTTTACAGTCACTTCAGCTAACACCTGTTGAATGTACAAAATGGCAGTGACTACAGTTTTACAAAAACATAAACAGACAATATACCGGTATTCACTCATTCTGAATCTTAATTATTATCACATTCTTTAAAATTATTAATTTACATTGGTATTTAATTGTACATGCTAAGCCACCAGTAAACAATGGAGCAACTATCTAGTACATTTAGAGGGTAGACCAAGTTGACCTTAGCCTTCGCGTTCTGGGGGAGGGGGCAAGTTGACCTGAGCTATCTCATTCAGATGGTGGGGCCAATTTGACCGGAGTCATCATCTTCAGAGGGGGCGGGGCAAGTTTACCTGAGCTATCTCGTTCAGAGGGTGGGGCAAAGTTGACTTGAGTCATCATGTTCAGAGGGTGGGGCCAAGATGACTTGAGTCATCATGTTCAGAGGGTGGGGCCAAGATGACTTGAGTCATCATGTTCAGAGGGTGGGGCCAATTTGAACTGAGCTTTTATGATTAAGATCACAAATTTTCTTACTTTCTCTGCCTTTTGTGATGCTACTTCAAGATCCTTTTCTTTGACAGCGAGTTCTTTGCTCAACTCAGCAACAGATTCTGATGCTTCTACTAACTTATCCAAACCAGTATTCATTCTATCAGCTAATTCACCAATCTCATTGTGTTTATCTGTGTAGATTTGTTTATACCCACTGATGAAGGACAAATAGGACTTTGGTGTGACATGGGTAGCACGACGGAATCTGTGAAAAAAATGAAAAAACAATGGGTAAAAAAGCTTTATTAAAGCTTTGAAGTAATCGCACAAATCGTGTTTTATATGGGTACCATGACACATATAATAAAGAATATTTGTCCAAAACCGCACCCTGTATGATATTTTGGCCCAATTTTTAACATCAATTATAGCCATGATACTGATTACAAGTTTTCAAGAATATTGTCATCAGTATTCTTACCTAGGCACACAGTGTGAAAGGAACTCATTTATTCTATAATAGCATCACAAACAGTTGAAAATTGTCAGTGTTTCCTTATGATAACAAAAACTCGTTTTTGGTCAAACTGAAACACGAGATATTGTTTTTATGTACGAGTTGATGTGACTCTCCGTCATAAGACCTTATAGGTCAAGCCAGTTATGAGCCAATCAGAATGCTGAATGGTACCAGCCAAATGTATTCAGGGATTATTTAAAACCTTAATGGAAAAAGTGATTAATCAATCTTGCTAGTGTATAATCTTTTGTCATTGATTTTGGTGAAAAAATGACATGACAAAAAATTAGTACATTTAATTTTCAGAAAATGAATAATTCATTTTTCTGGTGATAAATTTCACCAATTCATGCATGTCACATTTTTGAATAGGCATCAATGACTACAAAAAAACATAAATTAGACACAAATTTAAATTAGAAAACTTATGACATCTTTTTTAATCTTTGATCTGCACTAGATATTTTTTGTGACAAAACTGACATAGTTGTGTTAGGACTATGGTGCTTTAATTGTACGACCTGATTGAAAAGCATAACATTATTTCCCTAGATGAACATTCTCTATGTGGAGTTCATGAAACCATCTTGCTAATTGCCCCATAACAAAAAGAATGTTACCAATAAAAGACAACATACCTCTCAAAGTATTCAGTACAAGTCTCAGCTACACCATCATGAATGCTACCCATAGCTTGCACTAATTGTTTTTTCACATCACCACTACACACAATGTCATATGCAGATAGAAAGTGATCTGCTACAGCAATCAATGCATCTTTTGGCCATCGACTAAACCAGTCCATGGTACATCCAGAGATTAGACCTGGGAATTTCAATGCACGGTTACGGAATTTCTCACCAACCTGAATATGAAACATATATTGTAATAGTAAATAATTCTACACAGTATGATGAGTATTCTCCTCCAGTGCATTTCAAGCATTGTAGCCACAATGCTAGAATTTGTTAGAAAAAAAAGAATAAATTAACAATACAAATGAGCAATATGAAAATTATTATTTTCCTGGGGATGTCTAAACTAGTAAAATAGATTCTATTGCAAATGAGCCTTCTTTTGAACCATGTTCCTAAGATATCAGCTATATTTAATAGAAGAACACCAATTCTCAATTTATATGCAAATTATGCTCATTATTATTATTCACAAAACAAATCAGAATCTCAAAAATCAGTACCTGATTAGTTGGTTTACAGTTTTTTGGGATTGAAGATTTGTGAAAAGACAGACACACTGACAGTGCCACAATATGTGCTCTGATTTTTTGCTCGTTACTTGGACTGAAGTAGTTGCTGTGTATAGTTTATCGGTAATAAAACTATTTGAACTTACAGGTGAGAATCCTAGCACAACATGAAGATTCTGTTTGGCTCGTGTCAGAAAATAGTCATACAAATTTTCATTGGTTGGTGGTCTTCTGGGATACTCTTTCTTCATGACTGGAATCAATTCTTGCATTATCTCGTCCATTTCATCACGGGCAAACAAGTTAGATAACTGTAATAGAGAAAAGAATATAGTAAAGCAGAAAGAACCATACATTGCTGTTAGTATCCTTGAAATGCCATCCTATACACATGTGACAACTCTGTGGGATATTCCTCTGAATGTAGTAGCACTACATTGTTGCTCTGAAACAAAACGGATTTTCAATTTTGAGGATAAAACCATATCATGCAGAAAGACACTGAGCTTGTTTTTTTCAAATGGAATGTCAGTTATGGTGAACACAATGACCACAATTATTAGGAGAGAATAATGTGAAGTACATGTGCATTACATACCTCACCAGATGACAATACATTGTTAAGATATTCCAAGAATGACTCTTCCTTGATGTCATTGTCAGTGAAAATGAAAGTGACACCTTGTCCCTGTTGACCAGCTATCTTATATAAAACTTTCAAGTCATCCATCAAATTTGATGCATTATATGACCTGGAAAAAAATTAACATACTTTACTGAAGAATATGGCAGAAAAAATCAGAACAATTTCCATAACTTAGGTAGATTATTGATTGAAATACTTTGGTACCAATTCTAGAAAAAAAGAAAGCTTTTAAGCAGATTTTCTTTAAAAGAAGGAAATTATTTTAAAATGGCAAATTTGAAATACTGTGTGCCCTGCAAACACTTCAAGAAAGATTCACTTTGCTAAACAAATTTAAAGGGGCGCACCCCCACTCATGCCTTCTTTCTAAAATGTTTTTTACTGATAAATAAATCCCCCATAATGCACTATGGTAATAACATCCACACATACAATCATGTACTTTACCTGGTAAGTGTGATTTGAAATGTCTTGTACCCCGCAATGAATGACGCCAATCTGGTTAAGCTCTGTTTTCCAGATCCACCGACACCAACCAACAGTGCGTTACCACGCGGTGTTCTCACTATTCTGGAAACCTTAACTAAATGAGTCATGGCATCTTTGAAAAACACTAGATCCATATTAGCTCCACGAATAGTCTCATTATACAGCTGCATAAATGATATCAGTCTCTCTTCCAAAGCATGCAATGAGGGGATCTACAATAACAATTCATTCAATTAGTTTAGGACAGTATCTTTGGTAAAAAAAACAAAGTGAACAAACACACAACCAGGTGGTCCAACAAACACAGTAGGGTTTCTGATAATTATAACAGGGTCCATAGCACCAAGAGCCAAATAATTTCCAAGACTTTTCCAGACCTTTTTCCAAACTTTCCGGCATTTTTACCCAAGACATTTTGACCCTTAATTCAGGCCAACATCATCACCAAAGCTCATCAAAGTTCTGAGGATATGGTAGTTCCCTGGAGAAAATGGGCCTTTCTTAAAATGTATTAATGTAAAGACTTTTCAAAGATTTTTTTATTTTTCCTGTAATTTAAAGACAACTCAAAGACTTTCCAGACCTCGAAAAATTCAAAGACTTTCAAAGGATTTTCTCTATGCTATGGATCCTGTATAAGAACCACACATAAGCAAACATTTGCAATTGAGCTGCCTGACTTTACAATGTTATTTGTTGTCCTTGTACTTACTGGTTCATATATGTGTGGTGTATCAAACTCCATGTCTTCAGGCTCATCCCCAGTTGCTTCTGGTGCATCTCTACAAAAAACAAAACCTCATTTTTACTGCTAAATTAAGAACCGATGAAATTTCCCCAATTCTACCTTTCTAGTACTTCTAAGATGTCAACACGTTGTATTATATAGTTAAATAAATCTCACAATTTTTTTTATGACAAAAGACTAGATCGAAATAATATCACTACTGGGAACAGCATCCCTAATGCCAATTTAGTTTTATTCAATCAGTTTGCCACCAAAGAATGTGAGGTTATTCAGAGTGGTATACTTTTTTGTCTTGTTCAAATTCAATTGAGTTTATCTTTTTTCTGTTTTAACACAACTGGTTTGTTAAGATTTAATTATAATCCATACTTAAAAACACATCTTATCCCTTTTGTTAAAAAATCTTTGATGTAGAATGTACAAAATACTAACCTGAGAAAATCAACAAAAAACATCTCTTCTTCTACGTAAGATTGAATCTGTTCTCCTAACTCTTCTCCAGCTACTCTCAACATGGTCTTGGCAAACCAATCACAATCAGGCTTATTTACAAATCTATCAGCAATCACACGTGTACATTCATGTTTCCACAATCCCATCAATGTTTTCTGGTCGTTAACCACTTCTGATATCGTATTGATCATTCCTTGCCAGATTCGAGACAAATCTCGTAGATTGAAGACGTAGTGAAATTTGGCAGGAGTTGGTAACATTTTTATCTAGAAAGTAAACAGAGCAGTTATTTTAAAGCATTGAATTTGAACATACAAGAATTTAAGATTTGTCAAGACAATCGCAGTCTACCTATATGCATACTGTATACTGGTGAACTTTCACCAATGGGAGTGTTTGATAACATGAAGAAATTTGTAAGGACAAAATTCAGTGTATTCAGTCAAAAATGTTTTTATTGCAAAATTAATCGGTTCATAGCATAAATTTATGAAATTTGAAAGTTAGATTTAATAATTAAGAAATAGAATAAGGTAATTTACAAAATACCAAAACACTGGTTTTCATTATTCCAAGATATCATTTTACTGCCATAAAACTAAAGAGGAGATGCTTGGAAGGTATTCTCTATTAATCCCATCTACTGACCTGAACACCTAAGGCCATTCAGTATGCATAAATATCCCTTATTTTTACCATGTATGTATGTTGACTGTGCCAAAAGATGAAATTAATTTTAAAATATGGGAGATATGGTGACAAGGTCATTTGCCTCATGCACCTCCTCAAACTTTTCAAGACCAATAAATTTTGTAAAATACCGGTACTTCACATTTGGTAGCTTGTTAATCCATACAGTTGAGAATCTTCCAAAAAAACTTAAAGTCTTACTTTTGTTAACTGCCACAGTCTTCTGGTGATATGTACTAATTTTTCAACAATTTCTCTCACTTCTTCAGGGAAACCTCGTTCAGCACAATAATGACCATTACCAATCACACCTGAAATATGACAATTATTATCATAATAAGTACCATAATTTAAATAATTAATTAACTCAGCAGATTTTTGACATATGTCGTTCTGAAAGCTGAACATATAATAATAGCTAGAATCATGCCATATCCTTGTTTAATATATTTGTATAAATGCATTCAGCACACACAGTAGCCAGAACGTAGTTTTTATCTTAAAATCTCTGTATAAAGAATAAACTGCTATATACACATGCACTGACAAAGATCATACTATAAGACTGGTTCCTTGCTATGTCTGAACACCAACTATTAACTAAACATATAAATCAATACATACCAAAAATTTTGTCAATTGATGGATTTGATGGTAACGAACAATTAAAGATGCAAAACTGTCTCTTGAGACGTTGAGGGATATCATTACGACCACCACCAGGTTGAATCATAGCTGCCATCATTTGAATGTCAGCTATTATAGTGAAATCACCAGGTTTATCCAAATTATAGAATCCACCAAGTTCCATCATCTGGCGAGTAATTTCATTAGTCACCTGGACAAAAAGACAAACATGAATATCTTAATTCAGTAAAGTATGCGAAAACCTGACAAATTACATTTCACTCATTTATAACACATCTATCTATAACAGCCACAAAAGTTGATGAATAGACAGTGATATATTTACCTGATCTCCCCATTCATTAATGATAGGCATGTTTATATCATCAACAAAGACAGTCATCTTTTTACCTGCTGGTGGACCATATGTGTTACCCATACGTTTGTCAACATAACTCTCAATGGTACGCTGTGGACAAAATTATTAAATTTAAATCAAATACTGCACATATTAGGAAATTCAGAAATTTATTTAAAGATCCCCATCATCACCACCACCAAGACAAATCTGCTGTAGCTTTCACAAACATATTTCTATGTTGCTAGCCTCTTAATCACTACAGAAACACACATACATAAAGGGTAATACAGGGTCCATAGCACAGAGAGCCAAATAATTTCCAAGACTTTTCATTCCATTTCCCAAACTTTCTGTCATTTTTCCAAGACATTTTGACCTTTACTTCAGGCCAACATCATCACCAAAGCTCATCAAAGTTCTGAGGATATAGTAGTTCCCTGGAGAAAACGGGCCTTTCTAAAATGAATTAATAACCATGAAGAAATTTAAAGACTTTTCAAAGATTTTTTTTATTTTTCCTGTACTTTAAAGACAACTCAAAGAATATCCAAACCTCAAAAAAACCAAAGACTTTTAAAGGATTATCCCAATGCTATTGACCCTGTAGTAAACAGACTAAATGCCTCTGACTGCTGAGATCTCATTGGGAGTGAGAGAACCACAAGAGTTTTTCTCTCAAATAGCATTCTATCATTGCATATAATGTTAGATTAAAGAATATGTAGTGTATATCAAGTAGTGAAGACTAACCTGGAACATCATTGGTGTGGTAGCTGATGAAAAGTTTAAACTCTTGGAAACATGTTCCTCTTGGTTGTATTTATTGACATATCCTTTAATCATGACTGTCTTTGCAGTACCTTGTTCACCAATCAATAACACAGCCTGGTATATATACAAACATGTTATTTCACAATCCAAATTCATTACATCAAAGTTGGAATCTATGTTGGCCTATGTCACTGAGTAAAATGTTTGAACATAGCATAGCAAAAACAAACAAATGATGTTGATTTCCACAAGAATATTTAAGATTTGTCCCAAGACCCAACAATTTTATTTCACTTCCTGTGTCTGCATGGTACCTATATTTTTTATTATAGCAACCTGTTTCCTATATTTTGACATGCATCATAGCTATAAAGTATAAGAAGATGATAGAGAATTTCTGTATTCTATAAATCCTGAATCTGAATAACTTACAATGTACATTTTATTAAAAAAAAAATCATGCAACTGTTCTGCTGTTCAGAGATTTATAAAGATAAAAGCATATTAATACAAAAACTCTAAAACAAAGCATTCACATAAAGCATGTGTACTTCATTCATCTATTATACATGTTCCAGGGCCACAATGCACCAGTCAGGTTTGGTATATTACTATAATGTATAGTGCATTTTTGCCACAGAAGTTTGGGACTACATGACAGGGCTGTGTGGCCATCTCTCTATCAAATGGCAATTTTAATACGCTATCTTGGCGTCAACCAGGCTCGGACACAAGCACCTGCGAACCTTAACCAAGGTTCCCCTTAAGTCGCATTTGTTTGTGAATGAATCCAGTGGAATAGGCCTTCCCATTGAGTCTGTAGCACACTCACCCAGGGTAGGGGGTTAACCCTTTTGATGTTCAGCCTAAGGTAGGATATGAACTTGGGTCTACCAGTCCTGAATCTGATGTGACAACCACTAGGCTACTAGTGACCGGTTACTATAATGTACTTTCCACAGTACCATATTGGATTTTGAGTCAATTCAATGCTTCATAATATGCTCACTCACAGCTTACCCAATGACTTATATGAAATTAACTCCTTATCTAACACACTGCAGTAGGTCATGCATAAATATGTCTCTCATAAAATGTAAACTTTATACACTTACTTTTGTTTGCTTGGCTACAGTGTGGATCAAGAAGTCAGTTCTAACATTATCAACATTTGGCACCAATATAGAGCCATACTCTGGGGTAGAGTCTTTTGGATAGATATACTCATCAACTTTTGTATTCCAATGTTGCCACTTTCCTGATATAACAAAACAATAGATAAGACATCAATTATAAATCATTGTCTTTAAAAAGAAATATATGGCCTTAGATATCATAAGTGGATATCTGTATATTTGATTGTATTGTGAAATAAACTTTATTATTATACATCTGTCACCGTAACGCCATAAGATATATTTATTTTGCGGTATTTTACAGGGTATTTTCATTCTTTTCATCCATATAAGGAAATGCGAATTCCAAATATGGAATAATTATGCACATAAGTGTCCTCTAATAATAAAAACAAACATGACTGCCACCAGGGTTCGACTGGACTCCACACAAAGAAGTTCTGTCTAAACTTTTTGGATTTTGGCATTCCCATGATGTGTCCTTGGAAGGAAAAGATGTATAATAATAAGGTTATTACAAGGATACCTCAAAGTATGCATGAAGACAGTACGCCCTCACATCGACCTCCGCTGCGCGTCAGTCGATACTCCCTCTGTACTGTCTACATGCATACATTGAGGTATCCTCGTAATAACCTCATATTATCAGATATATTTTATTTGTCTCCTTTCATGTATAAAGTAGTTTGTGCCATATTGCAAGATATCAAGGTCAAAATTTGTGTCCATAGTCGGGAATTTCTGAGAATTTTTTTATGTTTGTACAAAGCTTACTGCATTTTAAGACCTCATTGAGTTCACTAAATCATACACAGTCTTATTTAAAGTACACACACTTACAGACATGCCAATCCATATTTAAGACTGGATGTAAATGCAATACATTCAAATGTTGAACTAGAAATTTACATATTCACACCATTATGTCATTTATACAAAATCACTGAAAGATTATCTCCATGAGATATGGGGGGAGGGGGCATAAATTTTGAACTAAATCACAAGCTCATCAGGAGTAAATACAACACAATGTTTGAATGAATCCAGACTAGACACACCAAAGAAACAGTTTATGACATGTTGGAATTAATGTTTATATGACTTGACTCGTACAAACTTTGAGCAAAATAAGTCAACTTACGTCTAACACACACACAAAAAACAGCATGGCTGCCAAATAGCCATTTAAATAAAATAAAAAATAAGTGACCTGCAGTAACCCATGCTATGATCAGCCATGGTCAGTCAAGACATGCCTTAGAAATGGTTCAGATGTTTTTTTGAACAAAAATGGCCACTTGTCCACCAAAAATCAATGATACAAAAACATATTGACTTGTCTTTGTACTAACTTTAAACATAATGGGTTGAGTCATGTCCAAGAATAAGGACAGAAAACTCATGGATTGTCACACAAAGAAATAGAACTCAAAACATAAGTTCCCTCGTCAGACTACCATATGTGTGATGTCTGGTACATATAATTTGATAATCATGTGGCTATATTCTATGAAAGTTGATAATATTAATGGTTACGAAAATCACATGACAAAGTCTATTGAATTATTGTGACAATATGGTTGGCAAAGTAACCTACCTTCTGTAGAAACATAATAATCAAACATGCATTCATCAGACTGACTATCAATATTGGGTAAATCCAAACTGATTTCATCGTGATTCCTCAAAAATCCTTCCAACTTGATTCTGTCTTCTAATTCAAGGTATGCACCCACACTCCACATGACTACGAATGAGTATAATTTATTGAGGAACTCAGTCGTGATGTGTCCAGAATCTTTATCAAGCAATCCTGTCATCAGTGTAATGGCCTAATACATAGAAAACATAACATTGTGACTTAAAACAGTTTTATCGTTCACTGCAAACATTGTTCTGCAACACCATGTCGCTGCTTTGATTGTCATGAGATTTTTATAAAACCAAATATTTGTGAGCATTTTTGTCACAGTTTTTCACAAGTTCAGCTGACATACTTGTATAAATGAATGAGATCTTACAAAAATACATAAGGATATGTTGTTCAACTTTACTGTGACGTATGAACATCATGTTTTCATTATTTTACAAACAATACAAAGTCAATATAATCTGCACAAAACTCACACTGATAGACGGAAATATCTAAAACTGCACATTGCTGCTTTCTACAAGCAAATCAATGTTGATTCTATTCCTCTTGGTGAGTATGGTTACTAAGCAACTTAATAAATTAGATGGCGATAGTGTTATTTGTCTTATTTAATGTTACAGATTTCTTATTAGAAGTTAGGTTACCTGTTGTATAATAAATGCTTCTAGTACATCCATCTTGAATTCAAGGTTCTGAGTAACATATCTCAATATTTCAGAATAGCTTGATTCAAACAAACCCTGTAGCACAGCATTTTCTTGTGGACTGCGCTTGTTTAACCAACCCTGGGAAACAAACAGGAGTTGGTAATTAGAAACAACAGAGAGTGACACATTGCGAACAAAATGCAACTAAGAAATTTGCAAAATAATTTGAATCAACGATGTGTTATTTTTGACTTGCCTCTAGAATGGGCTTCCAATTCAATGCAGATGAACTCATATAGACCATTCCATTACGAGATACAGTAGCCGGCGAAGCATTATCAATGTTATGTACTTCAAATATAATCTTACAAAGTGGTGCCATTGGAATACGATCACCATTAGCCAATGTAAGGGTTTTATTATCATCCAATACACTGTTTAAATTTTCAATCCAGATAGCATCTACTGGCCCATCTAATACCAACCACGTATGGTCTCCTGCAAAAGATAACAATGAAAAATGTAACATAACCATGTATACTTTTTTTTTGTCCAATAAACCATTTCGCAACTTAACTCCAGGGAGTTGCATTTACTGAGTACCGGTATGTTACTGGAGATAGGACAATGCATTATGGGAAAGGGATTCAAATTTGAATTTACTGAGCATTATTGGAACAATTTTGAATCCAATAAAAAAACCTTGGTCATTATGTCTTATTTAATCTACAATTACATTATTAAATAGTCAATAATCTGTCATATTCCAAACTGAAAATGCACATTTACACCTATAATATGGTTCCCTAATAGCAAAAATATTGTATTTTTTTAATAAATGATCACCAGTCAGCCATTGTCCAACAGTTGGACAAATTTCATCAAATTCAAATGAAATATATATGTATACACATTATATTAATAGATTAATGAGAAACAGCAAACATAAATTTTCCATTCCGAATCTTTATGAATCCGACAAGATAAATAAAAGAATATATGATATTTGACCAAAATAGCATCGATGTCCAATCAAGAACCTATCCCTTACTTTTGTGCAATTTCCGTTTTGAGGTCAAGTTCGACTCTCCTCCCATCCCTTCTGAAATGTCCAAATTATCTGCCCAACTCTTAAAAATCAGGATTTTCTGAGGTGAGGTCACTGGGCACTAAATTGGTTGAATATGGTAAGTAAACATAGGAGCAATCAATACCTTTCTTAGCCCGTAATGTTTTTCTCCAGAGTGTTGAGAAAATACCATCTGTCCAATCATTAGTAGCAACATCTAATCTACCAAACATCTGAGGTGCAGTGATTGCCTTGGGGTTCATTTTCATTTCCTTGTGTGGTTCACCACAATCACCCAATGCTTTCATCAATGTATGGATACAGCATGTCTTGCCTGCACCACTAGGTCCCAATGTCATCATACCATGACGTACACGCTGTGTCTCAAACAACTGCAATAAACAAGTTTAAAGAATATCCTGTGACGTAGCGTAAAAATAACAGAAGGAAAATGGATGTCGATGCATATATGTATGCCTGAGACCGAGCTTGATTTTAGTGAAGGTTAACATGTACAATGGCTATCCTGTCCTGTCATGTCACAAATCAGACTATGGAATTGCAATAATCAAATTTCCACTCATCAGCCATTTCGAATCAGATATGCATTGAATTAAGATCATGACATTTTATTTGTGTTTCAAGTTTGAATCCAAATTCCATCCATTTTCACTCTGGTTCAGGAATTTTAAAAATATTTGATTTCAGCACATACACTGTATTTCTAACTAAAATGGATGCCAGACAGACATCCTGAATTCAAAATGGACGCCAGACAGTCATCATGAATACAAAATGAATAAAGTTTGAATGTGATCAGTGCAGACACCAGTCGGCCATTTTTAATCTGCATTCTATCAATCCATATTTTTTGGACTTTATCCAAGCAAAGAACTAAAATACATAATTTTTCTCACCTGTATGATTTTAAGTATCCATGTTGGATGATTGACAAGTCCTGCTTCTTCAACTCTTGCACGAATAGCACTCTCTAGTTCCGGATAACCAGCTTTATCTAACGTGATACCAGGGAACAGGTCACCAATCAAAGACAAAAACAATGGTTCATCTTCATCCACCTGTCATCACAGATACAATGTTAGCATAATTCATAGTGACAAGTTAATTCCAGGATCAGGTCAACATCAAATTTTATCTTGCAAAGATTTGTAATATGAGATTTTTTTTTTTTTAAATGTATTTATTATTTACAATATTTGTAGTGCATGCTTAGGTAACATAGTTCATATTAGGTACAAATAACAGACAGTTCCCTCTATTCATCACAAATTCACAAAATAGTCTTGTTTATAGTCTGCACATTCCTTCAGAAGATTGGGGCAAAAATAGCAAAATTTTTTGTCAGAGTAAAAACTGAAAATTGACTCAAATTTTGTCTGTTGGCTCCAAAATTAGGGTTCATTACCAGAAATATTAAAGAATATAAAAAAAAGTGCAGAAAAATTTGAGCGAGAAAGTCTGGTGGTGAAAATGTTAAGAAGTGTCAAACATTTATTTAATACATGTACGTACAAAAAATGGAAAAAGTAATGATGTATTTGCTTTTCTAACACATGGTCATCTGTGTTATAGAAAATTATTCAAAAAAATACAAAATATAGAAGAATGGCTAGAATATTTCTTTTCATAAACAAAATCGTTTATCTTCATTATGGTTGAGTCGAGTTGTGATTTAGGGGTTCCATTCTAAAATTTATTATAATAATGGAAAAAACAGAATGAATGTAATGTGAAAATAAGCACTATAATCTTACCAGTTTTGATAAATTCATGTCCCTCAATACTCTCATTACAATAGTACTTTCACTGTCTGTGGGTGAAATCCTCTTGGCTGCACCCAGGGTTCTTAGTACAGACAAGATGTTACGTAGACCAAAATCATAGTGCACCTTAGAAGATAAAACAACATCCAGATAAAATTATCTAATCACGTGTATGTAGTGTGAGTTATAACAAAGCTAAAAGATATCATAATAAATTTCAACCGAATCACTGAGAATGAGAAACAAGTACAATATCACATCAAAGTATGGGTTTGGTTAACAAGTTAAAATAAGAATTTCTGAAAAAAACTTAAATCCTTGATATAATTTGGTGAGTAAATCATAAAAAGTAAATAAAAGTAAAGGCACTTCCATAAAAACAGCTGTCAATTCACCCATAGCATTACTAATTAAACTTTCAAATTGAAAACTGGTCAAAATACAACTGAGGTTCACAATTCAAAAACTAGTTTAAGTATCGCCAGTTTCTTCTTTGAACTTTCAAATGGCCAATTAAAGAAAAATATTTTGTAGCTAATTTATAATCAATTTCTGTGTCAAATCAAGTATGTTAGCCACATTCCATCCTTATTTAATGAGGATACTGATAACATGTCACATAGTTTTAATTTTCTGGAAAAATGCTTTGTAAGGAAGTATGTTACATTATCAGGCAGGAAAACGACATTCAATGACAGAAAAATCAAATACTCATTCTTAATAATTTAAAGTGATACCTGTTTTGTCAGCTGTTCTTCACATAGCTTGTACAGAGTGTAGAACTTCCTAGCCAAGATGATATTTTCCATGAAACCACAGCTAGCCAGTTTGACACGAATAATAATCTGTCTGTCTGGCACCATCATTGCCACAGTTCTGAAATTGATTTTCAGATTTTCTGGGAGTTCTTGGCGCCCAGCATATCCAGGATTCTGAAATGATCAAAACAATATGAAATGTTTCTGGGTTTATATATGATGTTACCATGGCAGGATTTTGGGGGTATGGATATATTTCTGAAATCAATTGAATGATGGTCATAGCAGTTGTGTTGGTATTTTATTCTTGGAATTGGGATGCTCAATATTTTAAACTTTAAACCCAAGCACAACAAGTAATTTTGACAATTATTTGAATTTACTAGATTCTCAGTAAATGTGCAACAGGTTTTTCAACACGTCTCTATTGGTCTATCACTGTTGTATAACTAATATAAGCCCTCTCTAGTTCTGACAAGAATGTGGTTTTAACCATTCAGAAAAAAGTCACATATGACATGTATAAAATGGTATAAAATTGTAGCATATATTTGTATCAAAGAGATATACCGATTTTGATCAAATTCACACTATGACTGATTTTGAGGTGATGGGGTACATGAGTAGGCTTTATACAGTATAATACATACCATTGTTAGGAAGATACCAAATTCAGGATTCAAATCTACATTGTCACCATCAGTGAAGATAAAGTTCTTCTTTCTTTCTTTTTTAGCACCCAGCACAATTGCAATCTGCTGTGCTGCTACTGATAATACTGGTAAATCGATACGATTAAACTCATCAAAACAACCCCAACTACCAGATTGAGCCAAACCTGACAAGAAACAAATTATGTGACAATGCAACCTCTCAAAAAACTAGTGACGATGTTGCTGGCTGAGTATGTTATTTACTCTATTCAAAACTCATCTCTAATAGAGATGCATAAAACAAACATTATACTGGTTCTTCAACATGTGACTTTAACTATAGCACATGTGCTACTATAGAACAAATATGGTAGGGTCCCTTTAGTTTCCAGGGCAGTCACAGTAAACATTTCACTGGGGTTCCTTCAAGTCGCATTGATTTTTAATTTCTGACAGCAAAAATGTAATTGAGACTTTGTGAACCACAAAATGGTATGAGTAGTTTTATTATTTTTGATGTTGTTACAATAAATTGATTATGCATTGTTTTTGCCCTCAGTATACATTTTCCGTTACTTCATTATATCTGGAAGGTAGACTCAACTAACTTAACAAAGTTAACTTTTATCTCCCAGCCATATCAGCATTGTAATATATTTCTGTAATGTAACTTTCAATAATTCAATTTATGTAAATTGTACATATATATAATGGCAATAAAATGTACTGTAATATTAATAAATCTCTTAAACATTATAGGTGGTCAACTACCTTTAAATATACGACCAAGACCACGGTAATCCATCTGATCAGAACAATTGAAAACCACTACATATTTGCCCAATGCTCTTCCCATATCTTTAGTAGTTTCAGTTTTCCCAGTACCAGCAGGGCCAGCTGGAGCACCTCCCAAACTCATCCCAAGGGCTTGTGCTAAGGTGATATAGCATCTAAAGTATAAAATAATGTGTATGGTATAACATTAATGGAATAATCAACAGCACTAGGTGGATTGTAAGCACAACAATGGCTCTCCTTGAACGATTCGGTCAAGTACTGTTCCGACTGATGAAGGGTTCAACATAGAACCCGAAACAGAACCATCACACTAGTGAATAAACCTATTACAGATAAATTTGAGTGCTGTATCGACATAGGCTTTCTTCGTACTCAGTTTCGTATTCCATTATTGTTTCCGTGTTTATTTCTATCAGGATCACACCTGAAAATTATTTTAACACAGAATGTTGCATCTGTTACGTATTTAGTTAGCTAATGCAATACTGCCCTCAGTCGGTGAAATGTTCGTCAATCCACCACCCCCATCAATATTTAGTAATGTATGTGTTATTTGGAAAACCAAGGAAAAATCAATTATATGTAAACGTTACCTGTCAGTAAGTGGTGTGATTACAAGACGTTCAGTACATCCCAAGAACTCATTCTGGTAAATGAAATCAACATCCGTAATGGATACAATCATTTTGTCATTGTCTTCATTGAAATAAAACCGACTTTGTTTCAACCACTCAAAGTCAGTTGGTGTTCTGATATGCATGCGACACTGTAATTAGAAAAAGTTATATGTAAAGCATCAATTGTATTCAATGTACACCTGTTAAATAGCAATATATTTAGAACAAACTTGGGCAAGATCTAAAACTGGTTAATAAAATATTCATGTTTTAAAATGACTGTCAGAGTTTATGTAACAACACAACAAAGTGCATCAACTGAATCGCACGGTTTCACGAGCCCGATGTAAACATACTCTCTCATGAACCCATGTGGGATTGCATGCATGCACCCAATCAATGGCATAACATGTGGCATAACATGTGACAACTGGTCATAAATATAATGTAGCGTTGTGTTGCCAATCGAGAATATTCGCCAATGTAATTTTTGGGGACCATTCCACAGTTTCCACTTGCCAGGATAGTAAAATATCAAATCAATCTCTGGCTGGGAAAAAACCATCTACGTACAATTTTGCCTGTGATACAGCTATAGCCACAATGGACAATAAATTGAAGAAAATATCTCATGTATTGCCAGAGAGGGCGCACTTAAATAGATGTTTGCTATGTACCATCTGCCAAGGTCTAGTGGTTAGGCGATGGCTGAATAAATGAAACTTGACTAGCGAAGATGAACAAAGTTTTATGCCAGAGTTAATGAGAATCACAATAACAAAGACTAACATTTTCCTTCATCTAGCAAGGTGACATAATTATATAATCCAGTAATAAGAGCACCTACCAGGTCATCAAATATGTCCTTTTGATGTACATGAATGGTGATCAACGTCTCATATTTGGTTCTTTCAACTTTAGTCAATTCTTTGGTTGTCATGTCAATAAGCGTGTTTAACAACTCCAAAAATGCTTGGTTGGTTTGAGACATAACTTTACGATCATATTTAGCATTAGTCAATGCTTCCTGTGCATCCCTGGTCCAGACCATTTGAATTCCTAGCAACCCAACCTAAAAATTAAAGATTATCCTTTAATAATTCAAACATTATAGTCATATTTTATGAAGCTTATCAATGAAATATCAGAGGACACTTTGAGGTAAAAATACTTCCTGTCTATATAATGTTGTGATTTCCTTTGATTTAAAGTAGTCTACCATGTTGATCATGATTTAACAATCACCAATACATGTAATAGTAAAATAAGCACAACTTTATCTCTCTACCACCTTTCTTTCAGAGAACTAAGCAGATGTCATACGTGGTAGACTCACACACAGTAGAATATCTCTGCTGCAATAAAGGTCACAGTGAAATGATATTTGACAGTAGTATACTTACTTGTGATGGGTAAGTGTTCAAAAACTCAATAAGATTAAAGCTAGGATCCTGTACAGCCATGGCTGCAGTACGGATAACAGTGTGCAATGAATGTTGTGCCATTTTCAATAAACTCATCAACCATATCTCGACATTGCCCTCAGCACGGACTGGTTTCTCCAACTAAAACAAAAATAACAATAAATTTGACCATGTTAAGACGGAAACCTACTCACAATGTTTGAAAAAATCAGATGTTCATTGGTTTATTTTGTATAATCAGGATGTGACATTTTTCAGTGTGTCAAAGAACAGTATTTAGGGAAAATTGGGTATATATTATTTAAAAATATTTTTTAGAAAAATTCTATAAGAACACAATGTTGAAGCAAAATAGCATTTTAAAAAAAATCAGATTTCTGAAATAATTCAGCATAAGTCACGGTTTATGTCACCTGTCTAGAATTTCAGATATGACATAAAATTCCCACCAAAGGTAAAAGTGTTACTGACAAATTGACCAGGCACTCTTAAGGTTTCTCATATGTAAATCAGTTTATTCCTTTTGGGGATTGAGGCAAGAACTGCCCAGGGAAGATGGGGGTTGGGGGTTGGGGTAGTAATCATAGACATTATAATAATGTGATCTTTGGCAGTGTATAAAATACATTATTCCTAACTCTTGAAACTAAAATTGTCATCTAACTGTAAGAACGTTGCTGATTGGCTCCTGAGTTGAAAGAGGATTTTGGTTTTAACAACACCGAGGAAAGTGTTCTATGTTCTTCATGTAATTAGGTGTTCGTATGCAAGGGATTTTTCCACACAAAAACAACGAATTCGGCCAAATTTTGTTAGCAGTTGGCTTACTATTACCCCAACGGATCGTCTGACTGTGAAAGATTGGTATTCTGATTTGTATGAATCTGAAAAACGTGTTTCACAACTTGTCTCTTTATTTAGTGTCATGTCGTATTCAAGATGGCCACCCCCATATAGTAAATATCACATTTATTTTATCATGACCTGTGCGCCAGCTGACTGTGTGTGAAATATAATCACTGCATGATATTGAACATACTTTCAAAATTCAACAGAAATTTGTTTTCATTTCACTCACCTCAATGGTTTCTCCTTCAGATGAGCAGATGGCAAGCATTTTGTCATAATCTTTATCATGAAACTTTACTGTCTTGATATTATCAAAAACACTTAGTAAATGAGCCTGAATGGTGTGGGAATCACTGGCTTGACCTAAAATCTCCAACAATGCTGGATCAGAAACGAAGAAGAATCTTGGGAATAGTAAACGTTTCTTCTCAAGGTACCTGATAGTTGAAAGAACAAGATTGAAAAAAGATATAAATATTGATGGTTGGTTACTTTCATTTTATTTGCTACTTTATTTGAAACAAGCAGCCTGTTTGCTGGTACAGTGGCTTGGGCTCTCTCTATAGAGTCTATGGCACACTCACCCAGGGTACAGTGGCTTGGGCTCTCTCTATAGAGTCTATGGCACACTCACCCAAGGTACAGTGGCTTGGGCTCTCTCTATAGAGTCTGTGGCACACTCACCCAGGGTACAGTGGCTTGGGCTCTCTCTATAGAGTCTGTGGCACACTCACCCAGGGTACATTGGCTTGGGCCCTTCCTATTGAGTCTATGGCACACTCACCCAGGGTACAGTGGCTTGGGCTCTCGCTATAGAGTCTGTGGCACACTCACTCAGGGTACAGTGGCTTGGGCCCTTCCTATTGAGTCTATGGCACACTCACCCAGGGTACAGTGGCTTGGGCTCTCTCTATAGAGTCTGTGGCACACTCACCCAGGGTACAGTGGCTTGGACCCTTCCTATTGAGTCTGTGGCACACTCACCCAGGGTACAGTGGCTTGGGCTCTCTCTATAGAGTCTGTGGCACACTCACCCAGGGTACAGTTGTTTGGGCCCTTCCTATTGAGTCTGAGGCACACTCACCCAGGGTACAGTGGCTTGGGCTCTCTCTATAGCGTCTGTGGCACACTCACCCAGGGTACAGTGGCTTGGACCCTTCCTATTGAGTCTATGGCACACTCACCCAGGGTACAGTGGCTTGGGCTCTCTCTATAGAGTCTGTGGCACACTCACCCAGGGTACAGTGGCTTGGGCTCTCTCTATAGAGTCTATGGCACACTCACCCAGGGTACAGTGGCTTGGACCCTTCCTATTGAGTCTATGGCACACTCACCCAGGGTACAGTGGCTTGGGCTCTCTCTATAGAGTCTGTGGCACACTCACCCAGGGTACAGTGGCTTGGACCCTTCCTATTGAGTCTGAGGCACACTCACCCAGGGTACAGTGGCTTGGGCTCTCTCTCTATAGAGTCTGTGGCACACTCACCCAGGGTACAGTGGCTTGGACCCTTCCTATTGAGTCTGAGGCACACTCACCCAGGGTACAGTGGCTTGGGCCCTTCCTATTGAGTCTGTGGCATACTCACCCAGGGTACAGTGGCTTGGGCCCTTCCTATTGAGCCTGAGGCACACTCACCCAGGGTACAGTGGCTTGGGCCCTTCCTATTGAGTCTGAGGCACACTCACCCAGGGTACAGTGGCTTGGGCGCTCTCTATAGAGTCTGTGGCACACTCACCCAGGGTACAGTGGCTTGGGCCCTTCTTATTGAGTCTGTGGCATACTCACCCACGGTACAGTGGCTTGGACCCTTCCTATTGAGTCTGAGGCACACTCACCCAGGGTACAGTGGCTTGGGCCCTTCCTATAGAGTCTGTGGCACACTCACCCAGGGTACAGTGGCTTGGGCCCTTCCTATTGAGTCTGAGGCACACTCACTCAGGGTACAGTGGCTTGGACCCTTCCTATTGAGTCTGAGGCACACTCACCCAGGGTACAGTTGTTTGGGCCCTTCCTATTGAGTCTGAGGCACACTCACCCAGGGTACAGTGGCTTGGGCCCTTCCTATTGAGTCTGAGGCACACTCACCCAGGGTACAGTGGCTTGGACCCTTCCTATTGAGTCTGAGGCACACTCACCCAGGGTACAGTGGCTTGGGCCCTTCCTATTGAGTCTATGGCACACTCACCCAGGGTACAGTGGCTTGGGCTCTCTCTATAGAGTCTGTGGCACACTCACCCAGGGTACAGTGGCTTGGGCCCTTTCTATTGAGTCTGTGGCACACTCACCCAGGGTACAGTGGCTTGAGCCCTTCCTATTGAGTCTGAGGCACACTCACCCAGGGTACAGTGGCTTGGACCCTTCCTATTGAGTCTATGGCACACTCACACAGGGTACAGTGGCTTGGGCCCTTCCTATTGAGTCTGTGGCATAGTCACTCAGTGTACAGTGGCTTTGGCCTCCCTATTGAGTCTGTGGCACACTCACCCAGGGTACAGTGGCTTGGGCTCTCTCTATAGAGTCTATGGCACACTCACTCGATGTAAGATGTAGAGATTGACTCATTTAAGGTGTTCAACCCAAGGTGGATTGTAAACTTGGGTCAACTAATCAAGAGTTCAACATCTACTATGTATCTGGATAACCAACGCTAAATCAGATGTTAAATTCATACTCACCCAGTCAATGACTTCTGACATAGTTCTAACTGTTCTAAGAGATGTGGTAGTAGCTGACCCATTGTCTCATCACCAACACAACACTGGACGACATTGGCATTCTCGTGGGCACGAGTCATAATCTTCACCCATGACTTGTCAATTTGTGAGAATCTCTTAGCTTCTTTAGGTAGTTGTTTTGCGATATCACCACCTACAAATACAGCTTCCAGGTAAACCCATAGATTTTGTACTTGCATCCAGTTTTCAATGATGTCTGTGGTGTTAGATAGGTTAGCAACCCACAGTTGAATTGTTTTCTTAAATGGAACATTGTACCTAGAATCAAATAAAGAAACAATGATGCATTATTATAATTTTTTGCAATAAAGTTTAATATTCTCCTTTATATGCCAAAGTTTTGTATATTTGTTTACTATAACATACACGTGCAAGAAAATGGGTGCATATAAACAGTACTGTTGTTAATATAAACTTGTAAACCATTACAAAACCAATTTACAAGCATTTATAGCACATGTGATTAACAGATATGATGTAATATAGATGAAGTGATATCTTCACTCACCGGTTGCTAAGCAATGAACCAAGTATCATCAAACTGTCTTCCATAAGGCTGATAATCTCAGTAGTATTGTCTCCTCTAAGAAGCAATTCACCACGATTCTTAAAGTTAGCAAAAGTAAGCAATTGCATATTCCAGTCACCAATAACTTGTTTTAATTTTGCTTCAATATCCTTCTCTTTCACAGCTGAGATACATATGTCCTGTCAGACAAATAATATTAACATTTATTTATCATAGTATATCTCATCATGGCCCTCTATGGCCACTAAGAATGTTAAGTGAGTATGCCACAGAGGGCGCCCTTATATTTAATAATAGTTCCCAAAATGTCCTTAGCATGAATAAATTCCCCTCTTTGCTGTCCCCAAAATCTGCTGTTGTATTTCCAATACAAATAACATATTTTATATTCAGTATTCACCATAAAGAGATTATTATTTTCATTCACTGAGTTTTCAGTAATATTTTTGTTGATGACCTTGCTGTGAGATGGTCCAACCCCTAATCTATGCAAGACCCCCAAAACCTTACACTAGAGGGAGCCCAAATCATTTGCTACGCTTACCACGGACTGTGCCTAACCCTATAAGAATTCATCTGTTATTCAATTAATAATGACATTCCTATGGGCCATACATATTGGTGACTGATTGGCTTAATAACTTCATAGGCAACATTGTCATAGCAGTAAGCAACATGGCAACATTGTCATAGCAGTAAGCAACATGGCAACATTGTCATAGCAGTAAGCAACATGGCAACATTGTCATAGCAGTAAGCAGCATGGCAACATTGTCATAGCAGTAAGCAACATGGCAACATTGTCATAGCAGTAAGCAACATGGCAACATTGTCATAGCAGTAAGCAACATGGCAACATTGTCATAGCAGTAAGCAACATGGCAACATTGTCATAGCAGTAAGCAACATGGCAACATTGTCATAGCAGTAAGCAACATTGCAACATTATCATAGCAGTAAGCAACATGGCAACATTGTCATAGCAGTAAGCAACATGGCAACATTGTCATAGCAGTAAGCAACATGGCAACATTGTCATAGCAGTAAGCAACATGGCAACATTGTTATAGCAGTAAGCAACATTGCAACATTATCATAGCAGTAAGCAACATGGCAACATTGTCATAGCAGTAAGCAACATTGCAACATTGTCATAGCAGTAAGCAACATTTGTTATCAGACATGCACATGCTGAACAACATATAGCTGGAGAATCCTACATCAATGCCAACTCCTATATCTTACATACCTCAATGTCTTCCTTGAATTGCAACAGAGGAGCCTTCATGATTTCTTTGAGCGTGAAATCTTCTCTTTCTACATCAAATACATGGCCTGTTACCTCCTGCATTCGATTCCAGTGCCGTGGTTTCATGGCCTTGTTAGTCATCAGCTCCAGTAAGGGGCATGTCTCGTTAAAGTCATCAATGGTTTGTTTCAGATCATTAAAAGCAGGCCATTCTTTGAGAGCTCTTGGTAACTTACGACATCTATTCAATGAATAAAGATGAACAGTTACTATATATGTATTCAGCTACAAAACGACAACCACAATTACTACAACTGAATTATTTTCAAAGTTTAAATATAAATCATCGCTACAAGACCAGTGTTGGCGGTCAAATTTCCTTTGAACTACATTTTCATTTATGCAAATGTGGACCAACTGAATCGAATGTGTTATTGCCTTGCAGAAAGAATTTCTTACCTATTTTGGAATTCAGTTAGTTCGGTGTTTATTTTCTCAATATCCACATCAGCCCAAAGTATATCATAGTAGCCATTAACTCTATCTATGACATCATTGTACAGACTGTAGAGTTTCTGTAGCAAAGCTAACTCTTTCTTGATCTGCAGTAGCTCTGGATATGAGCTGACAGGTAAACCAAACAACTCTTCACCACCAGTATATGTCACATACTTACGATACAATGTATCAAACTGATTCTGGTAGATGATGAGTCTATCACTTGCTTCTTTGGGTGGTACTCCAGCTACCATTGGACCAGACTTTAATAACATAAAATGTAGTCAGTGAGTATAAAAATAAATACCCATAGAAATCTGGCATCAATTACAACAATCATTTTAATGAGGGGACGGATGTGGGAGTTACATCGTTGTTTTCAAGAAAAAGTCCATGCAATCAAACATCCAGGGAAACACAGCAATAGCAATGCTCATATCAAACAGAAATTCACAGCAAAAACACAAATCAAGTTTACATTATATTTATATTACCATGAGTTTCTCTTATCCTATTAATATGAGATTTATATTTTGGAATATAAAAAAAATTAAAAATCTTAATTTTGAGTAAATTTTAAATCGTAATATGTATATGCTCAGAAAATGATACTGTAACTACTGGACCAATCTCTCTCAAAATGAAAAATAAACAAGTCTAAAAAAAAGTTATTTCATGAAATTCAGATAACAATGAAAAAAGCAATAAGATACAAAATGTCAACAAAAAAATCAAAAAAATCATTCAACATAAACAGAAAATCAAAATTAATATCATGGGATATGAAGATCAACAAATGTGAAAGAAATATACATGGAATATGACTTAGTTTTAAAAAAAAAGTGAAAATTATCTTTCAATATGGACACAATATTTGCTCTATTAGTAGCGTATCGCTTATTATAATTAAATGGCAAAGGTATGACTATGATCATAACAAGTAATATTTGAATAATTTGATATATAATAAATGCGATTGTTGGTTTGCATAAATCACGTTTCCATTGGAGACACATTAAAAACAATGAAACTTGTTCATGATTACTCTTACACTACAGTAAGGAAAATCAATCCATGTACAGTATTTTTTTTAAATAAAGTTAATAAAAAACTTACCGTTTCATAGCTATCATAGAAATTACTACAATCAACAATAAAATGCTTAACATTCTCAACAAGGTCTCCACGGAAATTCGGTTGAATTTTCACCAAGTATCCTGACATTTCTGAAGCTTGTGCAACCAGTTTTTCCCATGAATACCGTAATGTATCCACACGTTCTGATTCCTCTTTAGCAACCAACAGTTCATATCTATTCAGCATCGCATAGGATTCCTATTTATGAAATAGAGGAATGAGATGTTATACATAAAAAATGTATCATTTTTCATTCATTTAATTGTCTCATTAAAATTAAGTGTATGCATGATGTACTATAAATGTACAAAATACAAAAACAATCAATACAGACATGATGCACATATTTGTAATATCAGTGACAATGCATCTTTCTCAAAAACAAATAGAGCATTTTGTTATGCTATCAAATACATTTATAAACACTCACCTCAATTGGTCCAATATCCATATCAATACGAATCTCATTCTCACGGATATTTTTCAGTGCTTTCATAGCTATTCTAATGTCATCCAAGTCAACAATTTTACGACTCAGTCTTTTACCTTCTTCATCAATGAAATTAAAGATTTCTTCCATCATTGTACGGTATTTATTATTACAATATCTACCAAAGTGTGTCTGCCAGGCACGAGTTTCAGTTTTCAAAGCCAGCTTCAATTTCTCTGAAATTCAAAAGTTATAATTTTAACAAAAAATATTTATTAAATATTACGGGGGGGGGGGGGGGGGGG